CAAAAGATCTCATCATTCATATTTGTATATTGAACCTTATGAGCCAATTGTGCATGGAACTTATGGTGTTGATCAATCTTTGCTTTGGAATTTATTCACAGCGATTTATGACTATTTTGTCGAAATAATGGCTGGAAGTTGTGGATTCGGGCATCTAAATTCTAATTACCCTGTGCCGCAATAAACTGAGTTTACAGGTAAGGGTGAGTAACCCCCATTCTTGCATGACATGTATGGGTTGAATTTACGCTGGCACTTAGGTGAATGGTTAGTCGTGGTATACTCAACATATTGTTGGCCGGATGATATGTTACTACCATGATGAGGTCACTGAAAGATGTGAGCAACCCCATGTTTGTGATGAATAGATCCTTGTGTTAATATTTTTTATTTTTAGTTACGATAAGCTTATCGTCTGATATTGAAGAAGTTGGAAAGTTTATTCTCTGTGAAAGGAAGAGAGTTTGAGATTGTGTGTGGAGGAGACGGTGAAAGGATTACAAAATTTAGATGCAAAAATTCTTCATGTTAAATCCTTCTTTTGTATATATATATTAGATTCTATACAACTGATGAAGGTCATGATAACGTAGTTATAGTCGTTTTAGCTTTATCTGATAAAGGTCAATTATATATTAATGCTAATAAATGAACTTTTGTTGAAAGTTGTACTTTCAATATATTACAGGTAAAATGATAATTTATCATTTAGTCCTATAGTCCTAATGTTTTGTACAACTTTAAAATGTATAAAACGTAATATAAATCTAAAATAAAAATTTTCGTGAAAATAATGTCACAAAATATTAATTTTGATCCTTCACAATTGACAAATTGTGAAATTGCTATATATCTTATTATGATAAAATTAAACCATGTGGTGATCGTAATGATATACCCTGCATTAATTTATACTGCATTTATTTATATATCATATTATTTCGTGATTCGACTGGATGTTACAGTCAAACTAGCTTTAGTGTTGATTCTGAAAATTGCTGACTACACATAAGTCATGTGATTAGTTAAGTATCGACATTAAATATTTAAATATACCGATCATTACTTTTAAACACATTAAATAATCATGTAGCTAAGGTTTGTGTAATAGAAAAATTATTAATACAATGTGAAATAGACAATTATCTTAGTTTAATTATAAATATACAAGTATCGAATACTGTAATTGAATTTCTTAAGTCACATAATCATATTTACCAAAATTACGATCTGGACCCGAATCCATTATATGAGTGCTGCAGAGTGAAAACCTGGAACTGAATATTTAAGTTTTCACCCTGCAGCGCTCATATTATGAGTTATTATGAGCCAAAATGTGACAATTCATTAAAAGGTTAGCATATCTTAAACCCAGTTCATTCTCCGATGGCATCAGGATACCATCGGAAAATGAAATGAATAACAAATTCATAAAGTTAAACTCGGTTCAGAATTTAAATAAACACATACGATACAGAATATTTAATTAGATCTTATTGGTCAACCTTAATCACATGATTATTGAAGACTATCCTATATTGTGATTGGCTTGTTTAATTTTCAGGGACAGCCCGCAACAATGCAACTTTGAACGGCCTTATTCTGATAGGTAGAACAATTAAAGATTTAAGTGGATTTATAAATTCTATGCTACTTAATGCTGATAGCAAAAAGGAAGTTGAAAAGGCTCTTTTAGGGGGGTGACGTTAACCAACTAATCAACTATATTTTTTACAAATCTTTTTACCTTCTACCCATTTAAATATATTTAGATAATAAGATATTTAAAACAATTCATGCATCATATTGGATTTTTGAAGCTAAAATTCTAATCATATAAATTGTTTAATCAATTTTGTTCTGAGAAGGCAAAGCATTTTTGTTTATGAATTCAAATTATTAACAGTAAGTAGTTTAACTTTCAATGAATATAATTTTATTTGTAGTTCAAATGTTATTGTTATCAACAATTATGAAAAAGATTGCAATTCCCAATAAATTATGCATCGATAATTTTAAATCATATCAATCATAAAAATTAAAAAACAAGTACTCTAAAAATTTTAAAATTTCATGTTAAAATTATTTCAAATTTCAGCCGCGATATTTATTATTAACTAATTAGTTATGATTAATAGATGATCTAGGCATATTATATGTTGGAATAAATGTAAACATTCTATTACTAATTTCTTTATGTTCTTCCTCCCTTTCATCACTATAAAAGTCCTTTTCTTCATTATTATCATTATTCTTACTGCCGTAATTGCTAAGATAATTTTTATCCTCACTGCCATAATTGCTAAAATAAACTTTATCCAAATTCTCATTGAATATCATTTTTATAAGTCTTAAATTCTCTTCAATGTGAATACCAAATGTATAAAGGAATTGAATTAGTTTTATTAGTTTAGTCAGTGAGTTATTCAGAAAAGGAATTTCGACAATTCCTAATCTTCTCATTCAATATAACAGTGTGATTCATCTATCAATAATAAAAAATTCTAAAAAAGTCTCTAAATTTACAATAGATGTATCAATTTTAATATTTTAAGATTATTAAAAATATATATATTTAAAATTACTAACCATGTGTGTGTAATAAATAAATATTGATTTCATGTATTTTTACTGAATCATAATTATGTGATTTGGCATAATTATTAATTATAAAATCTATTGCATCTTTTTCACATTTTGATAACTTTTCTCTGTCTTCTTTTATATGTACTTGAGTCTGAGAGGATCGATTAAATAGGCCATTTGAAATTTTTCCTAAAATAAGTTCTAAACTAAATTGTCCACTGCTTTCATACACTCAATATATGTCATTTTTTTTGATCGGTCCCTTTGTATTATTTCTTTCTAAACTGGCTTTATTTATAATTGTATCCCTATAAATAAAATTTTGTTATAAAAATTTAAATAGTGATTAATTTATAGGTTTAACATACCATCTAATAAATATATCTGATTCTTTAAAATCTGCAATAAAATTTATAATTGGTTGTAAAACATAATGTGCCCAAGATGATTCATTAAATTTAGTTGAATATGACTGCAACATAGGCATTCTCCATAATCTTTTTCTTTACAATTAAATAGAAATACATCATAAAAATTTACTTCGTCATAATAAAATAAATTTATTAGATTTACATAAATATAACTTACATTGAATCAATTAAAATTTGAGTTTTACGATACAACAGATTATCTCCATCATCTGGTATTGAAGCATTACCAGTCTTAACTTGATTTATAATGAATCTCTTTAGCTTGTTAGGTAATTGCTTGGGCAATAAAGTTTCTTTAACGTTATTCCATAGTCTTATTTCCTGTAATGCTTCTTTTATGAGTGAGTGTGAAGTATCCAAAGCTTCGATGTCGAGAATTCTGGAGAGTAGCGGGTTATTCAGTCTTAATTCTACCTTTGAAAATGCATTGCTAATTATCTTTACGGTTTCGCTTACATTCATAAATTTTAACTATTTATTTAAACAAAACAATCAACATTTAGTTATAAATTCAGCTACTAAAAAAAATAAGATTTTAAATACATTTGTGATCCTTTTTTTTGCTTCAATTAACTTCAATGGTTCGTATAATGTGTGTTTTAGAATTTCATACCAACCTAGCCTTTTAACACAGAACTCAATATATATACCATATTGAACATAAGTATTATGTTCTTGAGCAGTTTTGATTAGGTTTATTAAGGTTTGAAGATCTGACTATTAGAAATAAATTCTCGATTTTAGTAGAGTATAATGATAATCATAAAAAAACCAGCATACTTCAAGAGCTATTTCTAAGTAAAGGGCCATTTCCTATGTGGGGGATTTATTTCAAATCAAGTCCCACAATTCAAGAAGTATTTAAATCATTTCTAAATCAAGTTTCACACACTGAAATAACCAATTTTATGATAAAAAACAGATAATTTAACCAAACGAATAATAAATTCAAGAGCCTAAATGTAGGGGATTCAAAATTAAATCAAGTTCCACGAATTACGAGGCCATATTTATAATGTCAAAAAATTAATTTATAAAGTAATTCTTGTGTGTAGGAGATTTAGATCATTTGGCGCTTCGAAATAGAAATGTGCAGTATAAACATCAAATTGTATTGAGAAACTAAATTATCATTACCATGTGATCATTACTTATCTTTTTTTTCTGCCTTCTCGAAAACGTGGTGTTTAAGTCTTGTTTTATTTGGCTTATATTTTTTTTTAAATTAATTTTGTTTGTGATCGCACTAAGAGATAATAATGATATAAATTTACAGTTAATTTTTTTCTTTTAGCAAAATCGAAATAAGATTCTTGACACATATTGTATGTATATGTTTGAAAGGGTAATTTCAAAACGTTAACGTTAAATGTAAACAAATATTGATATGCATGATGTCATAAATGATATGAATGATATCATAAATTTGCAGATCATTTGGCCCAAACCATTTGGGAGCTTGTCAATAGAAAAGGAGTAAAAAGTTTCTAAGTAAAACTTTTTCAAACTTTAAATTAAAATATCCTAACAACTACTAAACTAAATTTAATAAATTTTTTTTTATTTTGATTCTATATAAATATAAAATTAATTTAATAGTTATTGAAATATTTTGATTTAAATTTTTAAAAAAAGTTACTAAAAACTTTTTACCCCTTTTCTACTGACAAGCTCTCATTTGTAAATCATATATTATATATTACCGAATAGAAGCTACCCCCGAATAAAAGCTACCCTCGATTTTGGATCCAAAAATCTGAAGAAGGTTATTATGTTTTAATAGCAAAATTAGACCCGAATAGAAGCTACCCTCACTTTGGCCTAAAAAAATTCTCATTTTTTTTGAACATTTTGGTAGCTTTTATTCGGTAACATATGGTAAATTCTATCTAACATACCAAAAAATGTCCATCTCAATAATTTGCCACTAGAAATCATTTATCACATTTTAAATGATATCGAAAATCTGTTCCATCGTGACAATATATCACATAAATTCAAATGAATAAATTTTTGGTAAAATTTTTTATGTTTCATACGCTGCTTTATTACTGAGCTGATTGGCCAATGTTCTAAAACTAGTGTCAATTCTCCTTAAAAATTCTTTTAATTTTGTAATTTCTTTTACAAAACTGATTACCGATTCTATGTCCCAGAGCATTGTCTATACTTAATTCTTTTTTTGTCTTTGTTTTTTTCTTTTTTTCTCTAGTTTGTTTTTCAACCCAATATTAACTGTTGGCTGAATTGAAATCAAGACATCAATTAGTATTTGTCTTACCACCTTTATGGGTGAAATCATATTATTTCGGATATTACAGTCAATCTAGCTTTAGCGTCTATATATGTTGTAACATTTAATTTCATTTGTCATTACATAATAAAATGTTAAAGAAAACGGTTGTTTTGAATACACTCATGAAATTTTCCATAACACGTTCCGGGAAACTTTCTGTTTCGGTTACATCTTGTGCTCGTTATACTAACATCCGAGAAACGTGGATGCAAGGTCAACATTCCACGTGACAAATCGTCTTCTCCTGTTGCTTGTATAAGAATAATGGAAATTATTTATTATCAGTTTTGTATACCAATT